TTGTAATGTTATGTTGATGACCTCTTACATGTTTGTAATGTCATATTTATAGTTTGGACCTCTCACATTCTTGTGATGTCATATTGTTAGAATGATTTAATAAATTGAATTTATAATATTTTACTTGTCTAAAAACCATCGTCGTAATTATGAAATACACATTAATTTATAAGAAGATTTCTTAAGTCACTTTTTAGTTGACTAGTAAATTATTGAATACATGTCACCAATCTTTAGTTATTTATCTTATCTTTCCCACCTAACTTGAAACACGTATTGAGCACGTAAGAAGCTATAATATATTTAAAACCCAAGTAAAACAGTGACAATATTATAAATTACCAATTACTTTATTTATTTATTATACAATTTTTATTAATTATATTTTATTGATTCTTGATTTCTAATTATTAATTTATTTAATTTTGATTATTAATTTATCTTTGATTATTAATTTATCTAATTTATTTAATATAATATCAATATTTTACTAATTTTATTTGTATTATATTTATTATTTCTTGATATTACACATGTTATAACTTTATTATTTTATTAGTTTTTTACATTATTACAAATCTTGTAGATTTGTATTACTTTAATATATATTTAAATAAATATAATTTAACATAGAAAATTAGACATATTGTAATTTATCTTTGATCTTAACAATAATAAAGAATAGATTAAACTAATTAATTTATTTTTATTAAATTTTTTTATCTCTCTTGTTATAATAATTTATTATGTGTTAAATTATTATTATACTTGTTAAAAGTTTCACTTGTAAAAATTATAAATATAATTTTTGTCACTTGATATTGGAATTCATATTTTAAAAAGATTTATATTTTATATTTTTGTATAAATATAGTCACTATTATCTATCTTGTGAATATTTTCATCAGCAAAGATCACAAACTGATGATAATATTAATTATATAAGTCAAATAATAAATAATAATTAATATATATATTTCTATAATAAATTATCAATAATAAAAAGCATAATAAAATTAAAAATTTTCTCTAATATTATTTTCTATTTTATCAGTAAATATTTTTTGTTTTTATATCAGAATAAAACTAAGAATTCATAATTTAATATATATATTTTTTGTAGATTTTTTTTATAATTAAAATTCAAAATTAATAAAATTTAATTATTAAATTTAAAAAATCTACAAAATATATAATTTTTCTTTGCCAATATTTAATTCTGATTTTCTTTAGCTTCTTGAAAATATTTTCGATTGATATATTCTTGAACTTTATCATAATAATCATTTAAAATAATTTTAATAAAGATAAAATATGAATTTTTAATTTTATTTTATATAAAAACAAAAAATATTTACTAATAAATAAAAAATATTATTATTATGCTTTTTTTATTTCTGGTGAAGATAAAAATTTTGATATTAAAGAAGTTAACTTTAATTAATCAACTATATCCATAATTGGAACAAGTCACATGATTTCAGTTTTAATTCCACGTGTACGGAGATAATCAAAGAAAATTTATCGGAATTTTTATTATCTTTCTACTACCAATTCAAAGAAATTCACATTTATTTTCTGTCATTGTTATATTTTTAGTATAAAAAAATTCATGGCTGAAACTCATCTACCAGAACAAATTACTCCAAAAGAAGAAACAAAAGAATCCCTTTGTGAACCGACAAAATTCAAACGGTTCACAGAGCAATATACTAGTTTTACGCCCGAACTAAAGTATCTTAACGAGTTGGACGACATTTTCCTCACCTTGAGGACAGACACAGCACAAACTATGGAAAAGGCAAAGTCACAGTATACTGAAGCCTTTTTTTCTAAGCTAAAACCAAGTAATCAAGGGATTGTAAAAGAAAATAATGCAACTCTAATCAATAATGGAAAAGAGAAAAAAACGGCGACGAAAGTTAAGATTCCGGTAAGTTTCTTATAGCCTTTTTTTATTAATTATAACCATTATACTTTTATATTCTCACATTATTATTTTTTCTAGTTTTCAGAGGATCGTCTCGCCGAGTTAACAAAAAACTCGAAATACTGCACACTTCGATTAAAAGCTCTAAATCGCAAAGCTCATCTTGATAAAGCGGCTGATAAAGAAGCTGTTCTTGAAGCTCGCGAAAAGGTAAACAAAGCGAATCTTGAACTACAAAATTTGGTTCACGAGAAAGCATATCTAAGGAGAGAAATCGAGAAATGCAGGAAAAATTGGTATATACTATACATATATATATATATCTTTCAGAATTTTCTCAAAGACTAATCTAAGTTTTGATCTTTATGAATAGCTTCATATTTAAAGATATTTCGTTTATGAGCGAAGAATTTGTCACACGAGCACCCAAGGAGTATCCATCTATATCGGTGGATATTACCAAAATGGAAATTGATGATAATAATCAAGATGATAGTTTCGAGGAAAATTCTGCACACCACTGTATGATACAACAATTCAAATACGAAATGGTTGAACGTCAAAGGTATGTTATCATTTTGATTTCTGTCAGAAAAAGAAAACACAACACTGAATAATTGGTGTGTATGTGATCTGATTGTTTAGGTTGGAAGTAGAACGCGACAAAAAACGTAAAATAAAACTTCTACTCACACAAGAGCTTGTTGAGAAACAAGCTAAAACGGCAGAGACTCGACGCGAAGTTGAGAAATTCCTGGTGGTAAATGTTATCTCTTTCATTCTTTCATACGACTACATTGAATAAAAACATGTTTTCTAATAATCATAATAATAATACAGGCTTCTGCAAAGTTGCGATCATTCATCGAAACTCAACACTAGCAACTAGATTTCAGAAAATACATATCTGATGACTGATGCTGCTGCTTCCTTTACAATAAATGGCTAGACTGTGACAAGTAATACCGATTCAATTCATGTCCTGTAATACTTTGGCTTTTATATATAAGAATATAGGAACAAATTCTAGTGATTTTGACTTAGGCACGTGAATAAACCCTAATATGATTGGTCTGATCATTATTGTTACTGCGGAGTTAAATTCTGAATTTATAAAGGTCATTTTTAAAATATTTGATAATTAGTCTACAGATTAAATACAAAAATAATAGCATCCATAGGATTTATTTACTTTATTGTAAAATAAAAATTTTGAGTATATGGTTAATTCTCTATTATCAACATGACGAGATCAGGCATTTTTGTGGATATATAAGAGGGTTGATAACTCAGAATTAGTATCAATATAGTAGTCCAAGTGAAATTTGTTCTGCAATAAATGTTGATAACAAAGAGGTATTGATATTAAAGAGGTTGATAATAGATTGACCATATGCTTAAAATCACCGGATAATACTTCATGATCATGTGTGTGTGTGTGCATTTATTGAATCTGGAACAGTTTAATAAAATTCCGGGTAGTACAAACCAATAAGAATGCGTAAAAAATACAGAGCATGTCTAAAGCCTGGTACATCCGATAATCAGTCCGAAACACAAACCAATAAGGATGCGTAAATTTTTTATCAATCCGGCAAAACAAATCCGAAACGCGAACAAAAATATGAAAATAACGGAAAATAGATGCTTAAATCTATCTTGGCGTACTAATAAAAAATGTCGGGAAGGCAATTTTATATATAAGCTTGATCACAACTCTAACCCTAACCCTAGCCCTGAGCTTATTGTATAGTCATGTGTCACGTGATGAACCATGTCGCAAAATACTAATAAAAAATGTCGGGGAGATAGTTTTACATATAAACTTAACCTCAAACCTAACCTAAGCCTAATCTTTAAAAGCAATTTTTAACATCGCGTTACCGATCTACAGAAAACTTAAATGCTGTGTTGTGTATGACCCGGAAAATTTGGATTTATAAAATTTGGATTTTGGCCAGCATTAAGAAATTAAGCTATAATTCAAACCAAAGCACGTGACTAATGAACATCAAAAACAAATTAAATGGTCTGATTTATAGCCAATCAAATCATTTTAATCATGTGAATTTATATTAAAAATTTGAGATGGGCCGTAATTAATTTCGGCAAAAACCATAATTAATTTGGGCATCTATTAAATTGCCAAATTGAAACAAATCACGGCATTTACTAATTTCCCCCCAAGTTCTGATTTGATACAAGTAATTTCCATCGCTAATTGGTTGACTGCACACCGGGTCTTCTAAATCAACCAATAAAGATGCATAAATTTTTGATCAACCCGCCGATACAAGAAAATAATACGGAAAACGAATGGGTAAACCTGCCTGAAGCACTAATAAAAAATGTCGGGAAGACAATTTTACATACAATCTATTCTCTAGTCCTGACCCTTAATCCTAACGCTAAAACTAATCTTAATATTCTCAACCAATCAGAACTTTGGGGGAAATTAGTAAATTCCATAAGTAGACCTTGATACGTAGAATATTAACCAAGTTTTAGACACTATTATTTTGATTACGTAGTTATCACATTCTCTTTGTTTTATTGTTTATCGTTATTGGAGAGACTGAAAAGGAAATGTGAATGTTTGCTATTAAGAGAAACAAATAAACTTTTTTTACGTCGTTGATATTTAGTATGTTTGAAAAGCTCTAATTACAAGAAGACTTTTGTATCAAACTTTTATTAAAGAACTAAAAAAGGCAAAAAGAATATACATATATACAATAATGTAGTCGATCAACGCCAAGAAATAACTAGCATTTATGTAATTTAGTACGTAAAGCACACAAATGTGTGACAAATAATTCTATTTTTCTTTTTAATCTTAAAATACAATTCTAAATTACATCCCATAATACACAAATATACAAAACATAATTCACAGTTATGGTATTACCACATCAAGATCAAAACAAAAACTACTTTATAAAAATTATAATTCACAAAAACAACTGACTAGATTGATCAAATTTATTTTTAGAATAAATACCTAAAGTGTGAATTACGTAAATGTTTATATGCAACTACTTTCTATGATCAATTATATATTAGTGTACTAGTAACAATGTGTGATGATAAACGGGAAAAACGGCACACAGATCCGCGAAATCCTTCTTTTTCACGTCCCTGCAGAAACATGCCTACCATCATGTTCAGATAACGAAGGGAAGAAATAAAGAAAGAAACCATAAAGAAAATTTTCACAGTTTTTCCTCTTCTTACTCTTTACGTATTTACATAATTAATAATATAATCTCTTGCCATGAATCGGACGCCTGAATCTGATGCTTCCCCCCATACAGCAACAACAATTACAGCGACAAATAATAACAATAATGACCAACAACAACTAAGCAGAAAAAGCACAAGCGGAGGTAGTAATCATAGTGCTCGTCTCCGCCGAGCAGACACCACCTCAAAAATCCAGTATCGGAAAACAAAAGCTCGTGAACGACGTGTTTTCGTTAATTTACCTTTACCCAGAGATCTTTTGGATCGCTCCGGTGAGCCAAGAGTCAGATATGTTTCAAATAAAATTATCACGTCAAAGTATACCCCGATTACGTTTATCCCGAAAAATTTGTTTGAACAGTTTCGGAGGGTGGCGAATATGTTCTTTTTGTTGATGGCTGTGCTTGGAATGATTCCGGTTATTCAGACGAATAGTCCTGTTTTGACCTTGTTACCGTTGACCACTGTTACTTTTATTACCGCGTGTAAGGACGCCTATGAAGACTATAATAGACATTCGATTGATGATGCGTTTAATAGCTCGAAATGTTATCATCTTAAAAATTTTTTGAATAGAAATTATCCTTCCTCTACAAAACGTTCATTCTGGAAAAGTTTACTTGTTACCATTAAAAAATTATGGTCGTCGTCACAATCATCGTCAAAATTATCTACAAACAATCAAGATAATGATGCATCCGATGCTGGTGAAAAAATAAAGAAAACAGCCGATAATGATGATAATGATAGCTCAATTCTATTGCCCCCTTCTAATGAAATAAATGGGCCTCCAGAATTTAAAAAAGTAATATGGAAACATGTGCGAGTTGGCGACTTTTTGTTTCTTCGTAATGGCGACGCTGTTCCCGCCGACGCAATCATACTTTCTACTTCTGAGCCCGAAGGCAATTGTTATGTGGAAACTAAAGATCTTGACGGGGAAACTAATCTCAAACCACGTCGATGTGTTGCTGATACAAAACATGTTAAATCAGCAAATGATTGCTCTCTGTTGACTTGTTATATTGATTCCGAGCCACCAAATTCAAATCTTTTTTCATATAAAGGAAATATTGTGCTAGCCGATCCTTTGGATTCAGGTACATTGCCTATTAGTACATATATAATTATATCTTACTCGAATTGTCCTAACGTAGTATTGTAAATATCTAGGCTTTAAAATAAAGAAAAGTATTTCTTTGGATATCAATAATCTATTACTTCGGGCGCATATAATACGTAATACCGAATGGGTGATTGCCGTGACGATTTTTACTGGGGTTGAGACAAAAATTATGTTGAATTCGGGTGAGACTCCAAGTAAACGAAGTCGAATTGAAAAAGAAATGAATCGAGAAGCGAGTATACATTGATTTTTCATCATATGTCTGTCGAATTGATGTTAATTTTTTTCTTTGGCATTTTACAATAGGTCATATTTAATTTTTTCTTACTCATTATCCTTGCTCTTATTTGCGCGATCGGAAGTGCATTATCCACAAATGCTTTATCAGATAAAACTGATGGTGTGGCTATCTCATTGTTAGATAATAATGAGCAACCAACCGCACTTGCTAGCTTATTGACTTTTTGGTAGGTAGGTGCAAGTTACCAATTCTTATTAAATAAATTCTGCTTGAACAAAATAATTTTTATTAATGATATGCATTTTTTTTTACTGTACAGTGCAAGTTTAATCATCTTTCAGAATATAATACCCATCTCACTGTATATTTCTATTGAATTCGTGAAAACATTTCAAGTTAGTTTTTTATTGCTTATAGACATATCTTTTTTTTTTGATGATATACAATCTATTAATTGTCCTAAATTATAACTATTAGGCTTTTTTCATATATAACGATCTCGAGATGTTTGACGAAGACTCACAAGCTTCTTGTGTTCCAAAATCGGCAAGCATTAAAAATTTTTTATCAATATTATTTTTTGACTCATATAATAAATTCTTTTCACTACATTTACAGTGGAATCTTTCGGATGATCTTGGTCAAATTGAATACGTGTTTTCCGACAAGACTGGTACCTTGACACGAAATATCATGGAATTTCGTCAATGCTCAATAGGCGGAAAACTATACGGAAAAAACGGATGGGCTGGAAAAACAGATGCAGAAAAAGGAAAAGATTTATTAGTGCAAGGTGAAGTAACCGATGTTAATGTGGATTTTGACAATATTTTCGAGGAATATAGACAAGAACTGAGGAAAAATTTTGAGCCAAAATATGCAAGCACGAATCCAGATTTCTTGACATTTGCTGATCCAGAAATATTTAAAGATTTACGAAGTGATGAAGATTCATTTGGGAAACAAGATGCGGGTCAAAGATCAAAATACATTAAGGAATTTTTTACGCTATTAGCTGTTTGTCATACTGTGGTAGTGGATCCAGTCACTGAAAATCTACCAGATTTCGGTGGTACACATCCAGAAGAACAATTTAACAATGTTAACAAAAGTGAGGAAAAAGTAAATAGCGCATCCACGGATGCACACAAGTCATCATTAACCAAGAAACTAAAAAAACGTATTAGCCATAGTCGTCTGAGTAACATGGTCAAAGGTCTAAATCCATCGAACGGCATGCAAAATTCATCAATCAAGCTGAAACCTACTGCAGCAGCTATAGATGATACTGTTTCTCATCCACTCGATTACAAGGCTGAATCACCGGATGAGGCAGCTTTAGTATCTGCAGCCAAAAATCTCGGATTCGCTTTTCTGTCGCGCACTACCAATTCAATTACAGTTGACATTTTTGGGAACTCTTATACATTTGAGATATTACATACCTTGGAATTTAATTCCACACGAAAGAGAATGAGTATTATTGCTAGACGACCTAAAGAATTGGGCGATGATATTGTCTTGTTTTGTAAAGGAGCTGATAGTGTCATAATAGAAAGATTGGCAGATGGGCAGGATGATTTAGTTGAGAAAACTAATCAGGATATTGAAGAATTCTCTAATGAAGGTGCGAGATTATTTATTATACAACATGTGGTTATCAAAGTTAATTCTTTTTTTTTTAATTAGGTCTAAGAACATTAACTTTGGCATATCGAGTTTTGGATTCATCATATTATGAATCATGGGCTGCTAAGTATCAAGAAGCTTCTAGTTCCCTTGGGAATCGAGAGGAACAAATGGATGCACTTTCCGAAAATATTGAGAATGAACTTACTCTGTTGGGAGCTACTGCTATCGAGGATAAACTTCAAGAGGGTGTTCCTGACACAATAGCATCACTAAGAGAAGCCGGCATAAAAGTATGGGTGTTAACAGGGGATAAACTAGAAACCGCAATTAACATTGGTTTCGCAGCACAACTATTAACCAAAGAAATGAAACTTTGGATAGTTCGAAATTCCCCACGCGAGGAAGTAATTCGACAATTTGACGAGGTCGTGGACTCGTTGATAGGCGAACACGGAATCGCGAATGAACAAAATGATGAGGAATCGAAAAGACACGCGTTTGTCATTGATGGTGGTGCGTTAGCTCATTTATTGGATAATGAAGCCGCACGACAGAGAATGTTGGAAACTTCTGAGGTGTTTCATTCGGTGGTTTGTTGTCGTGTGAGTCCTTTGCAAAAGGCATTAGTGGTCGAATTGATAAGAAAAGGCAGGAAAGCTGTTACTTTATCCATAGGAGATGGTGCAAATGATGTCAGTATGATTCAAGCTGCGAATGTTGGTGTTGGTATATCCGGTCAAGAAGGTCAGTTATTTTTTTATCGATCTCTCTATTTGATTTTGTATACATTTTATTTATATATATTTACTTAGCATTGTTGTTTTTCTAATTACTTAGGTGTCCAAGCTGCAATGGCTGCTGACTATTCAATAGCTCAATTTAGATTTTTAAAAAGATTATTGCTGGTTCATGGTCATTGGGATTACATACGTATTTCAGAAATGATATTAAATTTCTTCTACAAAAATGTCATTTGGGTGTTTCCTGTGTTATGGTATCAAATATACAGTTTGTAAGTTGGTTGTTTAATTGGCTTTTTATAGTTATAGAGTTATCGAACAAATTATATTTATATCCTCATCAATTCTTAGATTCTCGGCAAATATATTCTATGATTACAGTTTTGTACAGTTGTATAATATGATATTTACGGTCTCACCCGTCCTTGCTCTGGGTTAGTTTCGTGAATAGTTTGTTGCTTGTGTTATTAATGGGTTTTTTAATTTACCAATCATGTTATGTATTTTCGATGTTAAATAGGAGGGACTGATCAATCTGTGACAGCAAGTTACCTAATGAAATATCCAGGTGTTTACGAAATGGGAATTCGTCAATTACGCTACAACCGACTTCGTTTTGCCGTATATTTTCTCGACGGCATATGGCAATCACTGGTAGTATTTTTCACAAACTACGCAATATACCTCTCAACAAACGTAGTCTCACACGACGGACGTAACGCCGGCCCAACTGAAATGTCCACCTCCGTAGTACTTAACGTCGTAATAATCGCAAACCTATTCGTCGGGTTCAACACCTACCATTGGACATGGTTCATGTTCGCCTGTATCATCGGTGAAATCATGATTCTGTTCGCTTTTGTTTTGATCTATGGAATATTCGAGAGCAGCCCCATCTACGGAATTGGCAACCAAGTGTTTAGCGAGGCGACGTTCTGGTTCGGACTCACTTTCGGGATAATTTTTGCTGGATTGCCACGTTATGTTGTTTCCTTTGTTAAACAGTGGTTCTTCCCGGATGATTTGGATATTGTGAGGCAAATTAAGACGAAAGAGAAGCGGGAACGTAATGCGAGAAAGGGAAAGGGCTGGAGAAGGAATACTGGCGGTGGTGGTGGTAATGATGATAATGAGCGTCCGATAACTCCCGCTATTGAAGCTGAATAATATACAAGATGTTTATTACTACTACAGTCAGGGCTTGATAGGGAAATAGCATTCGTGATTTAACGGTATCATATGTTTGGGTAAAATCCATCCTCGTTAAATCAAGATTTTAATTAGTCATCGCTAAATCGAGTCCTGAACAATTTTGTCACGAATCTTAATTTTAATTTTTGTTCTTTTTTACTATATTAATATTAATAATTTGGTGGAACAGGGTAGGGGACTCGAAGAGTTATCCCTTTCATTTGCTTTGATTAGGTGTCAGGCTACTATTTGTATTTTTTATCTTGTAAAACTGTATTTTTAATTTTTTCAAAATAAACATATGCACTACATAATATACATCGAACTGATTGTACGCGTCACTTTTATTTTTCGAGCAGTTAATTTTTTTTTACCTAACCTTCAAAATGACTGAATTCGCGGAACCCTCTACAGGCAAGTCCCAAAAAATGAGTATCGCTCCACCACTTTTAATAATTTCTTCAAATACATTTACAAAAAGGACCACACAAATGTCTTCTGATATACATTGCCAACTACATGTCACAAAAACTACCAATGTCCTCGCCAAAATATACCGTTCAGCTTGTATCCACGGAACTTAAACCGACTCCTATTCCAGTAAACGCACCAAAAAGAAACAATAGTCGTGGTTGCAACGAGCCTCAGGCCACACGTTCTTTGTTACTATTGCTACAAGAACATTTGACGCCTACTGATGACAATATTGATAAAAAAGTATTGGTCACAGCATTGGAAGCCTACGAATATCATTACAATGATGATGACAATTCTATGATACTTTACATTTCAAAAGTGGACACTACTGGCTTTCAAAAGCCCGTGAGCGAAGGTGGCACCAAAAGTCTCACTAAAACGCTAGTATCGGGATTCTTGAGTTATTATGCAACACAACTCAAACATCTGACAATCAAATTACATTTGTTTGCTCGTGCGCAGCCACAGTATTTCTTTACCAAATCTGCAAAAAATCCAGCAAAACACTTGTTAAATGACGTGCAATTGATCAGATGGTGGAAAACATTGCTTCAACAGTTATTTGTTCTTAATGATGAAGATGGTGATAACAGTAACAACAATGATAATATGAGATGGTTCCTTATTCCTGGTGTTGTGTCTGAACATGAAGCTCAACTTTTGATCAAAGATCCAATTGTGAGTCCATCAGAAACAGATAGCAAGCTTTGGACATATGGATATCCTTATCCGGATTCTGCGATTGCTGGACAAGTGATACCACGATTTGAGGGTGACCCGAAACTACGTTTTTTCGAAACCTTGGAAGATTCTGAATATCAAAAAAATGAAAAAGAAATGCACATTGATAGTAATGATGATGATGAACAGACAAACTTTACTGTTAAAGAGTTTTGGGAAATGATTTCTTTCACTTCAGAATTTAACTCTGGAAAAAATTCTGCATTTTTTTGGGTGTATTTTGGGGGTTCTGCTCAACGCCGCGCCTCTTCTTATACTGCTACTACTGATAACTCGAAAGACCCGATATTACAATCGACAACAGTAACAGCAAATGAGAAACTGGGTGGATTGACCTTGACTGATGTCAAATATAATTCCGTAATTTCGAGTTTGGAACATTTGGAATTCTTTCCATTAGACGTGGCAATAAACTCCACAAACACTTTTACACAACTCTTGGGTGAAAGATACTTGTCCGAAGCTGAAATTGAGTTTACCGGGAAATTAAATGATTCTGTTCCTGATCAAAAAAAAACTAGTAATATCTTATTGAATCAGTCATCATCATTGTCAAAAGTTAATAATTTGCAAATGTTCATAAAAAGAAATAAACCAACAACACCAACTGAGCAACAACCGAATCTTTCGTCAATTACCTCATCAGCTTCGATAACATCACATGCTACTAATACTAATGCTAATACTACTAATGCTAATACTACTAACAATAAAAATAAGAACGAAGAAAAAAATCAACCGATCAACAATATACAACATCTGATCAAAAGAAAGGCTCCTTCGTCCCACACAGATATCTTTGATTCCCAATTGTCTGCAACGTCCTCTGTTGATACATCAAAAGAATCGTTAGAGAAAACTGAGTCAAGTGTCAAACGAGCCAAAAAATCTGATAGTGATTGAAAGCAATTTTAATGGATCTGCGTATCTTTGGATCGTCATGTGAGCTTCCATGCTAATGTCTTTAGAATCTCTTTCTATAGTCACGATTTTTTTCATAACATAATAAAAACCATTCCTTATGTTAATTTTTCAAAAGTATTAAAAGACTCGTGAATCGAAAATATATCCAAACATACAGATTCGTTCAAAGACACGTTCTATTATTAAATTATTAGTGAATATTTGAGACGGGATCAGCAGCTTTGTAACGATAAAAGTTGAATTATATAAATATTAATAACTTTTGTTCTTTAATTGGCACTTTCTACACACATTACACAAATTCTACTATTTTGAACCATTATCTTTAATTCGAGTTTTGTTGCCTACCAACAGCAAAGAACCAAAATTCATATACAATCGAATCCAATTTAACGATGGGTCGGGATAAACAGATTTGTTAAATTTAACCTGATTCCTATGTGCCTTCTATAACGATGGGTCGTGACATCTAGTAAAAAAGTCGCTATTTCAAGATTTGTTAAATTAGCCTGATTTTATGTGCCTTCTATATGCAAAAAATTCCTCTTATATGAATTACAAAGTAATGATATTTCTTTAAAATCACAAGCTTTGCTTATGTAAAGATTTATTGATTCTATTTTAAATGAGCTAAATATGTTTTTCCGTTTGGGATTTTGTTGTTTTCTGGTTTTCCATAATTTTCATCTTTTTCTGCATTTCGTCAATTATTGCATTAATTATTGCATTAATTATTTTACCTTGCACTTCTGACTACTAGCGGAGTCTATTTTTTGTTGGTTGAAGCCAATATTTCTTGGTGAAAAATAATTCGTCACCGCTTTTGAATGCAATAAAATCGAATTTTTTTCTAAATATACGAGCAAAACAAAACGAAGCCATTTTTTTTGTGTATTCACAAATCAACGTGATATTTGCCATTATCACTCGGGTTTTTTTACCATTAAATGAATAAGAAATGAAATTTATTCTTTATTTGCTAATAAAATTATACCAATGTTGACATCGTTATAAATCCAATTATAAGTCCAGTTGGACCAGTTGCCAACACTGTCTTATACTAATTAATTTGACTAAATTCCCGTCTCTTTCCATTTTTACTAGTTAATTCCTATTAATAGAATTTCTCTCAAATCCACCAAGATTCCTCGCAGAATTACGAAACTTTAATTGTTGTCGTTTCAGCATCACCTCCAACACCGCCCCCAAAATATACAAGAACGTCGTAATCCCAGCAATAATCGTAAATAGCGTATAATTTGTAAATAAAACAATCAAGAAAAACTGTGATTTTTCCGAATTGTCAGTAGATGTAGTTGAATCGGTAGATGTAGTAACAGCAGGAGTTATTGAATTTGTTGACGCCAAATCAAAACTCTGATCCTGAACCATGTACCATTTATTTTTACTCACGACCACAATAGCACGAAGAGTCATGTTTCCCGTCGTTTTACCACTTGACGACCATCCAAACGTAAGCGGCAAAGACTTGAGGCTTGCACTAGAGTGAGAAATCGTGGTTTTGTCGCCGCCGTCGCATGTTTTAATTTTTGTGTCTGCTGGCAAATCAGTAAATTCTCCGCCTCGCAATTTTGTTGTTGGGTCGACTACGTATGCTAATATTCCTTTAAACTTAGTGTTGCCGTTTACTGCTAGTTTGAAGTTTCCATTCCCTGCTGGAGTGACAGAAAAAGAATAACCACCGTTGCCTTTTTGTGGACTACCGTGGTCGGGTTTTGACATGGATTCTATGTCACATGTTCCTGCTTCGTTAGAGTACGCGTGTATAAATGAGCAGAGAAAAAGAATAGTAAAGATTAAGACGAGTTGTAGTTTTTTGAATAATATCATTTTCATTTTTATTGAAATTTAATTTTTTATTATAAGAAACAAAAGAATCGCCTGCGACTCGAAGAAAAAATCGTTTAAAAGGTCGAAGAAAAAAAAACAAGAGAAGAAAAGGGGAAAAGAGGTGAAAAGTAAACATGAAGTTTTTTTAATTCATAAAGTTATATGTTTCATCATACAAATTTTTAATAGTAGTATATATTCCTTAACTTCAACAAAATTAGTTAATTAGTTCATAAAAGGAAATTTATTTCCGGTTCCTTCACGGATTGTGAAACCAACCATGGTGAAAATAATTTCTTGAGCATTATCGTTATCCTTATTATTGAAGAACAAAAACAACGATTCTTGCCTTTATAGAAAGCGAAACACATGGACATGTTAATGGTAAGAGAAAAAGATGTAAACAATATTTAGGATACTCCGTTAATGAATAAAAATTCGTTATCGACTTTTTGATTGTTCATTCGATATTTTACTTATCGTTATCCTTGTTGGATTCATATTAGATATATGAGCGATCTACACGTCAAACAGACAAGGGAAAATCGACTCCTACAATGAACTTAGCGTTAGTGTTACTAATATTAGTAATATTAATTTAATTATTAAATTAAATATGGAGAAAAATTGGATTAGGCGGGGAGGTTTCTCATTCCGTCTTTGTGCACGTGTATGTATAATTAAATTTTTTACGGTTCATTTCGTTGCAAATAATCCTCTCTCTCTTCTCCTCTTCTCTTCGTTATCGAAATATTTTTTCCTTAAACTCTCTGGTAGAGGCTTTTTTCTCATCATCGATCACAAATACGATGAGCTGGTCTCGTTTATAATAATATCTTTCAAACGCATTAAAAATTCTCTTGTAAAAAATTAAACACGATTTTTCTAAATTTTAATTTTTCCTAAAGAAAAGATTTCTCGCTAAAAAAATAAAAAATGGAATTCGAACCAGACTTTGCAGCTAGTTACTATCTAACGATAACATTGTTATGTATAATAATAGCACTTGCAACCCAACACCAACTCTTACAAATCCTTCGATATACACGACGTCTAAGAAGCCCACGTTTAATTGATCTTCCCACAGAACCACGAGAAAAAATGGCAGCAGTAGTAAGTTATGATTACTCAAGGCCAATTCGTGATGCTGGTATAGCCCCAGAAGCCAAAAAAATCCATTCGCAATTACTGGTTATTGCACATAAAATATGGAACTATGCAATTTTCGTGTTCGGTTTTGGGGATCAAAGTGTCGGGGAAATTGTGATCTTTCAGGCGTATATTGCGTTGAATCTGATTTTTCTTTATATGTCATTGCAACCGGGTGAAAGTGTAAATGCCGATTTCACAGATAGAACTGCTTATTTAGCATTAGCGAATGCAGCATTTATTTTTCCATTGGCCACAAGAAATTCAGCATTTTTAATATTATTGGGTGTGCCATTTGAGCGCGTAATCAAATATCATCGATGGGTTGGACGAATGATTTTTTTTATGATTGCATTTCATGGAGCATATCATATACAAACTAAATACCAATCCACGTCAATATATGACACTCTATTCGGCGACAAAAAATACTATACCGGATTCTGGGCATCCATGTCTCTAGTAGTGATAATGATCACTTCTCATTCGGTGGTTCGTCGTCACGCCTTTGAACTATTCTATTGGTCACACTTCATTTTCATTTTCTTTGTAGCTTTCGGTATTTTACACACTGAATGGTTCTTGCCGTTCGTCGGATTCGGGACCGCATTGTACATTGTCGATCGTCTTGTGCGCTGTTTTCTCTCTTACCGCACGGTAAAAGTCGAATCGATTGAAGCAATACAGATGGGTGTGACGCGTGTTGTTTTCGAACAAAAATCTTATTATGAGGCTGGACAATACGTGTTTGTTAATTTCCCGAATTTGAAATCGCCGCTATCTTTTCTGAAATGGCATCCGGTTTCGTTGTCTTCGGCTCCAAGTATATTGGATGACGGATTGAATTATGCGACTATTCATTTGAAGTGTGCAGGCGGATTCACAAAAAGTTTATACGAGAGCGCGTATCAAGAAATGAAAAGCTCCTTAAAACTAAAAGTCGATGGTCCATACGGAAGAACCCGTATTGATTTCACGGAATATCGTTCCGTGTTGTTGGTGGGTGGTGGAATTGGAATTACGCCAATGATTAGTTTGTTACGTGATTTGGTGGACCGTCAAGTTGCTGGGTTTTCGCTTGTTACTCAATCTATTTATTTCGTTTGGGTTATTCCTGATCATGGTGAATAGTTATTCTTTTTATATGCATCTGAAATTATTACGTAACAATCGGATTTATTAACAAAATTTCTACTATTACCAGACTCGTATGCATGGTTCTCGAGCGAATTCACCGAAATCCGAAACCACGCCTCAGCATTAATAAACACAAAATACCTGCTTGACATCAAAATCTTTCTTACCAAAGCCGAGACCACCCCGTCCTCGATATTTTTCAAAGGTCGACCGAAATTCAATTTGCTCCTCAACCAAATTAAGGGTTGCAATGGATCGGGAGATATTGCGGTCGGTGCTTGTGGTCCTGCGCCGATGATTCGAGAGATTAGAAGGGCGGCGGTTAGTGAGAGTGATGCTGTGGGGTTGATTAAGGTTCATACAGAGACTTTTGAACTGTAGTGCAGAATTTCTTTTTTTTTTGAGAGATAGGATTGGAAAGTGACGTGATTTTTACAAAGACAATTTTTTCTTTATTGAAATTTTTGAGGTAGCATAAAAAGATATCACGTATTATGTTATTGTAATGATAGTACGAACATGTATTTATATACCTCGATTTAACGAGATTGTGACATATGGTGAAATTGAAACATGTCGCTATTTCATTAAATTGAGCCTGAATCTGTGCTCTCATGGAAAGGGATGCCGGTAAAGTAAGATATTCAAAAATTTATTTAAATACTAAAAACAAACGTAAAATATAAAATATTACTTGCCATACATTGGAAACTTATTCTTAGAACAAGTTATATTACTATCCTATACTCAGAAGTTAAAGATTTATCATAAATAAGGCTTCTCAAGAAAATTATTTTATTTTAGCTACCAAAACTAAGTTTTTTAATCGACCTAGCAAACTATAACAATGATAATTAAACAAGAACGTTATCGTTATTGATCGATGAACACATATATCGATATCTATAAATTTACGTAAAATAAATACTACGCGTTCTTTCAATGTACAGCAGATTCCATATTTTATTTGTTTTACACTGATGTTGATAATGAACCGTGTTCTTATCGAAAAAAAGCTTAAAGCACCCATAAATTTTATCAAGCAGATGTTTCATTACTATATATTATCCATTACAAATTTTCCAAAAAGAATTTTTTCTCCCTTGAAACGACTGATTCGAGGATTGAAATCCTCAATAATTTTCTCTTATTTCTTCTTCCTATCAATAAATATAACGAATCATGCGGAGAATTAATAAAAGAGTATGTCTGAAATTAAACGCTTTTCTCGACATGGAGAGCTTGAGCCGTTGGAAGTTATTTTTTTTCGAATTGGAAGAATTTTTTCCTGGCCAAATATCAATCACTCCCTGATGTAAATAAGAGATTATTACATGCAATTTCTATTTTCGTTAGCTCTTGGAAAGGAGAAAAGAGTTATGCCAGAGTTAAACGGTAGTCAAAGCAATAGGATATATTGAACTTCAGGTGACTTGCTCCTTAACAAAAAATGCAGAGTGCAAAGCCCTGCTTCAAAATCCTATGTGAAAGATCAATATCAAAAACTTACTACTATAATAAAAATATATCAGAAAGTTAATGTAATGATGTGTAAGAATTTACAAATGACTTCAAAACTATGAAAACAATCATTAGAGGTTCTTCTATACAAGATATATGGGGTGAACATATTGATTCCTGGAAGGCCCATATCAGTCAATTGGCCAAACCTTAAAATTAGTTGGGTTTCTTTTCTTTTGAACTTTGGTATAATGCTTATAGTTGTGGCCGAAATTAATTTTCAATAAAATTAAGACGAACATGTCAAAAATGCCCTCCGTGATCGTAAAATTATATGCCTAAATCCGAAATATTGCCTAAATTCGTAAGCCTAAAATATTTTATTATAAATTATCATTAGATAATTGGCCATAAAAATTCAATCGAACGAATTTAAAAAATATTCAATTACAAATAATTGTCTTCCATCAAATCAAGAAAAGTGACTTTGTAATCTGTATGCACAGACAACGCGAATAACGATAAAATTCAAAAAAAGGAGCCATTCCACGATTCGAAATAGATCATAAATGTAAAAAAACATTTACAATAAATTGTTCACTATTATATTTTATGAGCAGACTAACTTTCAAAATATCTAATTATAGAAATTTTGGATTATTGAATTACGACATTTAAAGCAAATCCAGTCAACTCTGAAAGGTTTTGGTGATGTTATTATATCCAAATACTATTAATGTTACTTTTGTACCAAGCAAATCATGTTAGTATAACCAGTATTGGTATGTTATTATATAAAGAATGTTGCTCTGACTGTATCTATAATAATCGCCAAGTTTAATTGGATGTTGATCGAAAGATACTTATAAAGAAAGAACGCGGCCAATCTTAATATAACACGATCTCACGCTTCTTTCGTGCTGTTGCTTTTCCCAAATTTTTCTTTTCTAAAAACGCAAAATAATAAAAAACGAAAATATAAAAACTCGAAACTATAAACTTATTAAGCAAAAACTACATACAACAAAACAGTAATGCAAAAAGAAGAAAATAAGCATAAGGAAAAGAGACGGTGTTTGAGCTTTTGCTCTGCCAATGGGAATTTCGAGGGTAGTGAAGAGGAGATGCTATTGGAGTTGACTGAGACGTCGTATACTACTACTAACAACACTAAAAATGCTCGGGAACGCGTTAATATTGATCACATCATTAATAATTATTCTAGTAATGATGACAATGATAATAAAAAGATTACACTAACACAGGAAGAAAAAGACTTTTATGAGAGTATGATAATGAATCCAGTAAATAAGATACACATCGTGGACCTTTTAGGTCCTGGCGAAACTTTGGAAATGTATCGAGACGATTATGATGATTTGGCGACGACATCGGTGACAACGACGAATTTCAATGATATTACTGATGAACCTCCAAAGACACCAATAATGTCACCAAGTTATTGTAGTAATGTTGGTGAGGATAATAACAATGATAATAAAGGTGGCAGCGATAAAGACGACAGTGATAAAGACGGCAATAACAAAAATCAGATATTCTCTACGCCGCCTCCACGAAATCAACCACTTCCAGTTTCTTTTTTTGAAACGCCAAATACATCTCCAATAACTGAACAAAGAAATCCACCCAATACCATTAATACTCCTTCTCCAAAACTCATTCACCCTTTCTCCAATTATTTTCCAAACAAAACACCACCACCGCCGCCGCCTCTAGTGTCTCCCCCTCCTCGTTCATCAATCATGGATCCTAAAATCGATCCTTCAACTTTACGCACCCCAGAAATGCGGAAGGTTTCTACTTCAAAGTCACCTCAATGGTATTATAGTTCAGTTAGTTCGCGTCATTTTCATTCGTCATTTGAGCCTACACCTATTAGTGGTTACGATAATTTTTCGTATTCTCCCGTCTCACCGACACCTTCATGGAGCGACTTTGAACAAAAATATCAAAAAAAAATTCCGGATGATGAGAAAATAAAAATTGATGAAATTAATCATTTTCCTTCGTCACCATTATTGTTAATACCATCCCCCTCACCCTTATCTAAATCAAATTCAACTCAATCAATCAAAAGATTGTTCAATGGAAAGAGTCTAAATGAAAATATCTTGACTGATCAAAAAGATTATTTCGATTTAGAATCTTTTCCATTTGTTGAGAGTAATACAAAATCATTGTCGAAAGAAAAACATCGTCGTCGTCATCGTCAGCATCATTTATTATTGTCGAAACAACTTCAGCAGGAGGCTAATGAGTTTAATAATGGTTATGATGGAGATATTGAGTATATTGATGAATGATTGAAGGAGATATTGAGTATATTGATGAATGATTGAAGGAGAATGATTCTACTCCATTTCTTTAAATTTAGTTTTGTAGTATTCGAAATCATATATAAGCTGTTAAGATGAATAGGAATTTCGAGATTTAGTTATTGTAAAAAACTCGGTGAAAAATCGGATTTAACGAATAAGATACATAGCATGTGGTAATTGATCTGCACGTGTTTTAGTATCGGTATGGTCAGATTTTATATATCCTGAGCCAATAGCGTAACAACAATCCTTATGTAACTAGAATTGAATACATACTACATGTATTTAGAAATCTCAGAAGTAATTATATATATTATCGTTATCAGTATGATTGGATTTGAAAAACTATTATTATTTTTGTTTATTGTTTTCAGCAAACTGTTATCCATACTTTTTAATAACACGCCGGGAGGGAGGGAATTTACAAAGTCCTAAAAATGTACAGATCCTTGAAACCACAAACCAGAACACGTATACTTGCAAAAGTGAATCCAATAACTTATCAACACCTAAATGCCTCCCACACAGCCACTGGATGACTTATATGCAGAACAAGATCATAATTGGCTGAATCATGAATTCATTGTAGCTTGTAACAAGCAAAGATGAGACGGGATGAAATTGTTTATAATAAAAACAAAGGATGAGGTAATGTAAGTAAAGGCGAACAGTTAGTTGCTGAAAGTAAAAGCAATTATCTTGTTGTTCTAGAAATAACTCTTTTGCCTGTAATCATTTAAAGATATATCACGAAACAAGCAGGAAAATATGCATTTAGAATCTATTATTACTATATATAGCGATCTTTTTATAGAATTGATCCCATGTAGGTAATACAAAAAACAGGATTTGATTTTTGCTGAATCTGGTTCTTCAGGAAAAAAGTGAGATGGAAATAGTGATAATAAAAAGAAAATACAACCTCCCATCAATACCTCATACTCCTGCTTGCTCGTATCATTCGTGCTACATTGTAGAAGGCCCTTTCCACGTTGACACCTGTTCCAGGACAAGATTCGATAAATCCACAATTACAGAATCTCGCTAGATTCATTCCTTCTTCTCTCGAGACCTCCCGTTCAGTGATTTTAGTACAGTTGTTACCAACGAGCATAATACTAAGGTTGTCCTCTTTGACACGAGTAATCTGATGCATAAATTGGCCTATCTGCTCAAAAGTTATGCGACTGGTTATAGAATATACAAGGAGAAAGCCATCGCCGTCTCTAAAAGATTTATAATAATGATCATATTAAAATTGCATCACGGAACAAGAATAAAGACGTTTACCTGATCAATTTGTCACATAAATTGGGATATTCAGCTATTAAAAATATTAAACAAAAATCATCACATCAATGTTCTTGGTTAATTTTTGTCACGTCAGACATGAAAGATGAGAAAAACAAACCTTCCACAGCAATACCTAATATTTCTAATATGCAAGGTTGATCATCGATTACAACTCGATGTGACTTGATACGAAACGTCTCTACGCAGTCACACTAATTTTGGATGATAAAATTTATATGAATTTCTTGTGGGAAAATAAATTCGATGATCGAACTTAACATATACCTCTGTTGAAATGTAATCAGATGAATGTGAAACCGACGTCAATATCTTTGAGTATTGTTGAAGAGCAGAAAGTATCAAATATACCCACCGACAAAGCGATTTAGCCAAAACTATCGTAGATAGGTGTGAGGCATTGTAGCTTGAAAAATTAATAAAAGCTTGAAGAATCGAATTATTTGTTTATATGATAGACTTACCTGCCTTATAAGTGCAGTCTGTTTTCCGATAGAATAAGACTAATGAGTAATTCTTGAAACCAACTTAAGGATTGAGCAAAAAAATAACTTTGCTTAAAACCTTGCCGCTATCCTTAACTCCAAGAACGACGATCTTATATAACTCCAGTCCGATCATCTTGGGTGGGGATGTCGCAGACTCGGTCCGGAGGAACGCAGTTTCCGTTCCCCCGGAAGCAGAGCCACGTTCGTTTTGTAATTGTGAAAAAGCTTTTTTGGTTTTCTTTTTCAAAGTCACGATATCGACGAGCTTATATACACTCATACCATTCTTCTTGTTCTTGGAAAAAGCTTTTTTGGCGTTTTCCTTTTTCAAAGTCACAATATCATCGTCTGAAGAATCCTCCTTATTTCGAGTTTCAGAAACATCTGGTGTAAGATCAATAGTTTCCGCCTGAATAAATCGTGAATAAATGGCATTGTATATATTATGTTGGGGTAAAAAAAGACATTTTTCTTCTTTAATTGGATCGCGACAAACAGGGCACATCATTTTTCGAAGTTTTGGAAGATTAATACGAGTAATGGTATGACCACATTCTAGGAACCACAAGTCACTTGATGGTTCATGTTCGACACTGCATGTCATTCCTTGACTAACTAAACCGAGGATTTCGGAATGGTTTATTTCCGAAATAGCTTCCTTGTTCTCAATGGGAGCCTTTCCTTTAGTCTGAACGTTAACTTCTGTTACATTGTCTAGCTGAATTTCCGCTGGATTATTGTGAATAAGGCTGTGTAAAATTTCGTAATCATATTGAACTTTTGCTCTCGTGTATTCAAATAAATTTCTCAGCCTTGTTAAAGAAGTCGAGGATTTATCTTGGTCATTTTTGTCAATATAATCGTCGAATTGCTGTTCAATATCGAAAAACATTTCGGGGCAAGCGCATTGAATGTGGAGTAACACCTCGATTGCTTTGAACCGAATGAAACTTGTTTGGGCAGTATCAAGAGATCGAACAGCCAAAAAATAACCAATTGCAATAGTTGATGATTCATTGGTTTTGTCTACTAAATTTTGTACTAGATCAAGTACACCGAACAACAAAGTACCGGGAGATGTTATCGGTTCAATTTCTAATAGCTCCGTTAAAAAACGCGTCGTACTTTCCATTGACTTCAAAACCTTTCTTGAAATCTCTTCAAACTTATTTTGTGTTGAGCTGACTTTAGCATTTTCCGCACACTCATTCTGAGCATGGAACCAAAGGTGTTCGAGTAAAATTCGTTCGGCATATTTCTTTGTAACTACACTTAACTCGGGCTTGCACCAGTCGTCTAAGGTATGTTGAATAAAGAGCACGAGTCGCCAATCAATGTACCAAGCACCAATTGGATATTTGAATGTGCATGCTTTCCTCATGTGTTCCCAAACACCTTGCACATCTTCACTACCAAAAGATATCCCTGCTGCCTTACTTGATGTGCCTCGTCCGATTGATAGAAGTGCTCGTAGTAATTCACCTACACGACGCCATATTTCTCTGAATCGCGTTTCATCATCTCGTAAGCTGTGAAGCGTATCGCGCAAATGTATCAACAAGAAATCGATATTATAGTTTCGGAAATGTATGGTATTTTGTTCGTTATCTGGGTTCTGGTTGAACTGATCGTATTCATCTTTGTAAAGCTTGAATACACCTTGTTCGGAAACCTCCGTGCAACGTATATGAATTTGAACCAATAATGATAATTGATTATACGTTCTTTCGCGAAGCTCTTGGGTTAAACGTATGCCAACCCTACAGATCGTCTCTAAAATTGCGATTAACGTCCTCACATGTAATTCTAATATGGAAGGCGTTTCTGTTGTATAATACAAAAAGTATTTTGGTTTCTCTGGAGTCGTCAAGGCAAGCAAGGCATCAATAAGGACATCTTTTGAAGTGATGTATCCGATCGGATTTTCAAGTAAAAATTTGAGAGCGTATAGATGTTCAGGACTAGCAAGTCTCTCGACAATTCGTGCAGCTTGATCTTCGGCTGTTCTTATTCCTTCCTTTTCTAATTGGATGAGAAGTTTTGGGCGATGAATAGAGATATCAATATTTAATCCTTGGTGCTTTACTTTTTTGAAGGACGTGCTTGAGGCGCTGCTGGCAAAATCACCATGCTGTAGTAAAAATGAAATTCTTTTCGTCAAACGAATATTATATTAATTTTATCCCCTTACTTGAGATTGCGACATTGTAGGAAAAAAAATTTGAAAATAAAGGACGGAAAAAGGTATGTATGCAATAAATCTGCATTTTGTATACGTATTAATACAGTGTGTCTCGAAAATAATTACACTACATAATTAAATAATATTATTTTTTAGGATATTTTATTCTTGAGCAAAAAATGCAAAATAATTTAATCATGTTGAGTTTGCAGTAAATGATATTGTAATGCAAACTATCATAAACCGCCACTTTTTCGAGACACACTGTACATAACTGAAATATACTAACTAGACTTAGCGTTAGTATTCATGATTATAATGATTATACGTTATTTTTAAGACTTTAATTGTTTACGTCTATTTCTTCAAGAGAAAGGAGGTGTATTTTCCTTTCCTTATTTATAATACTGTGACAGTAAATCGATTGATTTCATTGACATTATATATATATAATGTTAAAATTTTAGGGTGTGACACTTAGAACTAATCAGTCCAAATAAAAGGACGAACCGGATCCGACCTGGTTCGGATCAATCGGTCCGATTTATCCAGCATAGAGACTTGGAATGTTAAAATATTAAACTGTAATATATCAAAACGAGTATATCGTTGTTTTAATTTTAAAAGCACGAAATTTGAAATAAGCTGTACGATATATTAATTAACAAGACTATAAATAAACTTAATTCCAATAAAATTTTCATATATATTAGGTCCGGATTGATGAAATCCTGCACATCCTAGTGACACTCACTCCTGCGATGAATTTCAAACTGATTTCTGTGAGTCTCCTTAATTTATTATTTATTTATATTATTAATGAGTATTATTGTATTATTATTCATAATAAAAAGGGATACTAGTCGAAAAAAAAACAAATTTATTTTTCCTTGAAAACACACCAGTTACCTGGCAGAAATTCGGAGTGAGCGAGAAAAAGTGAAGTTCGAGAAGTTAACGCGAGAGTTTGCAAAATATTTATACAAACAGTAAAGAGAAAGCCAGTGAGTAGAGCAAAAGAACAAAAAAGAGAGAGAGAGAATAAGAGGAAGAGAGAGATAGATTGCTGGTTGTGTGTGCGTGTTTGAGAGAAACTTCGCACACAAACACTAATAAACGATAAAAGAAATCGATTTGAAAGAAAAGCAATGAGCACTGCACAAACACCAAGTAATATAACTCCACCTAATCGACCAACCTTATCAAACTCTTCCTCGTCTTCGTCTGCTGGTGCTAAAAGCTCTCCAGCTAACTATAAAAATAATAATAATTTTCATAATAGTAGCAATAACAATAACAATAATAATAATAACAATAATAGTTTCTATAATAGTTCTAACGACATCCTTGTCCCACAACGTACTGCTCCCCCGCCACCAACTAAATCTTTGCATACTTCTCAAATGAGTAGCGGTACATCTGGCGTAAGTCATAACGGGAGTATAAGGTCCACGTCATCATCGTATAATCGTCGTGGTCCACCACCTCCAGGTAAGAAATCAACGAGTATGGGACCACCCGCTAAACCGACCCGTGGTCCAACAACTTCAATATCAACCCAGAATTTAAATCGGAGTCCATCGGCTAGTGCTACAATGACTACAACAAAGGCGAGCTTAAGTTCTCCCGATAACATGGTTTCTCCTACCTCGCCGAAATACGGTCAAGGGGCATCGAATTATAGTTCGATTAAGGGGCCACAAGGGATTAATATCCATGGGGACCCTATACAACCAGAGAAAGAGGGAAACGGAAATAGGTCAACAATTAAAGGGGTTTTTAATAATTTTGTTAGTTCTGTATCAAGCATTTCTTTACTTCTGGCGAATTTATATATTTTGATATCGAATTTCATTATTCTCAATCAATGAAAAAAAATTAAAAGTGTGAATGATATCAAGATATATTCTATGCAAAATATTCCAAGGCTTGTTTTACTAAATAAGATACATTACCATTTAAATTCTATAGACCTTCTAACGACACAAAAAAAGTTCGAGATTTCTTCACCATATGATCCGGTACATTTAACTCATGTTGGATTCAATCAAGAGACAGGAGAATTCACGGTGAGACAATATGAAATACCATAGTTTTATAGCGCGAAAATAGGATTTCTACATATAAAGCGCCTCGTTAATATTAATCAATCCACATAATTCAAAAATCATAATTGATCTTATTAGGGTTTGCCAAAAGATTGGCAACAATTATTACAGGAGTCTGGTATATCGAAGCAAGACCAACAAGCACATCCACAAGTTCGTTGTGTTAAATTATTTTTTCTATGAATCTTAATTTGAGTATGGAACTCTGAAAATAAAGTCGAACCTTTGAAACCTTTAGGCTGTGCTGGAAATTGTCAAATTTTATCAAGACACTAGAGGTGTTAGTAATCCGAATAATGTATGGGAGAAATTCAATCATGCAATAGTTCCTGATACATCGCCACCTGCAAGTTTACCAACTTCACCGCATATGAGTGAAAAAAAATTCGAAACCAAAGCATTCGAAAATCCTGTAAGCATTTCTTTTTCATATCGAATGATAAAGTAATCATGAAATTAAAAAGTTAATTTTTTTATATTGATGCTAGAGAGTTGCACCAGCGCCACCAGATCCAAAGAAAAAACCACCGCCACCTGTAGTACCAGCAAGACCTCATAATCCCACTACAACAGTCAGTTTTTTCTTGAAACTTTTTTTTCATATTTATATTTCATAAATTTTGCTATATCAAAGAATGATTAATGTTATTAAAAAAAGGATTCTCAATACGAAAAGAGGCAAACATCTAATAATAATTATAATAGTAATAATAATATTAATAAAACACCGCCAAAACCTCCAAGAAGTATGTAATTTTATCAAATCTCCATTGCTTTATGTACAATATTAATTCAGTGTTAATTAATCAATAAACTTTACCTCAGAGACATCACCAGAACCTCCTAGACTTCCTCCAATAACTCCTTTGCCGCCGCTTGAGAGTCGTCATCCTGGTCCAACTCCACCTCCCAAACCAACTACTAAGCCACCACGTAAAGATCCTAGTCAAGCACCTTTAGTCCCCGCACCACCTAAAGTGCCTCCGCCAGTACTCAGCTCTAGTCCAATAGTAGCAAAACCGCAGCAACATGGCGGTAGTGCACGACGACCACGCAAAGGAGCCAAAGAATCGGCGGATGTAATTGAGCGATTGAAAGCTATTTGTACAGATGCAGATCCAACAAAATTATACAGAAATCTTGTAAAAATTGGTCAAGGGTACGAATACTAAATGATTACGATTCATCTTCATTCATAATTAATATCCATTGATTAATATATAATAATCATTTCGTAAAATAGTGCATCAGGTGGTGTTTATACAGCATATCAAGTTGGAACTAATCTTTCAGTAGCTATTAAACAGATGAATCTTGAACAACAACCGAAAAAAGATTTAATTATCAATGAAATTTTGGTTATGAAAGAGTCACAACATCGAAATATTGTCAATTATATTGACAGTTTCTTGTGGAAAGGCGATCTATGGGTAGTGATGGAATACATGGAAGGTGGTAGTTTAACGGATGTTGTAACAAGTAACATAATGACAGAAGGTCAAATCGCTGCGGTTTCCAGAGAGGTAAGAGAAAGTAGATTTTCATCAATTATGCGAATTTATAAAATCAATTAATTATTAAATTGGTTATTTTTTTAAGACTCTGGAAGGTTTAGCACATTTACATTCCAAGGGAGTCATTCATAGAGATATCAAGAGTGACAACGTACTATTAGCATTAAATGGGGAGATTAAATTGAGTGAGTGACTGGAATAATTTCTTATTTTTTTTTTATTTTTCTTCACATTTGAGACATAATTGAATATTGATTTTCCCTTCCGATAATTTTAGCCGATTTCGGATTTTGTGCGCAAATCAATGAATTACACAGTAAGCGCACCACAATGGTAGGTACACCATATTGGATGGCACCCGAAGTTGTGACACGTAAAGAATATGGTCCGAAAGTAGATATTTGGTCACTAGGGATTATGGCAATCGAAATGGTAGAGGGTGAACCGCCATATTTAAATGAAAATCCGCTGAGGGTATGCAGAATTATTTGTTTTCACATTATTTTTTCTTTTGAATCTACACAAACATCTAAAATCTTTATGTTTTGGATTATTAGGCTCTATATTTGATTGCAACAAATGGAACACCTCAGTTACAAAATCCAGAAAGTCTGTCACTTGTTTTCCGTGACTTTTTGAACAAATCGTTGGAAGTCGATGCTGAAAAACGACCGACTGCAGTTGAGCTACTTAAGGTGACCTTGTATTTTGTATTTTTATTCCGTTACAAATATTCACGAATTTTTTTACTAATTATATATAATGTAACATTTAACGTAATAAATATCCTTGAAATGATATAAAACAGCATCCATTCTTGCAAAAATCAGAACCACTGAGATCGCTTGCACCGCTCATCAGAGCTGCGAGAGACAATGCAAAAAGATGATGCACGTGATCACGGCAAAGTTGAAGCAAAAACTTTTAAATGCGTATGCAAGGCACAAAACTTCCGATTTTTGGCGACAAGAGCGACGCTAACATTAATTATCTCTTCTTTTGGCCTTACCATTTATTGACGCCAACAGCCACTGCACACATTCCATACTTTTTTTATTTCCTACATTACAACTTATTTTATTTATATTTTCTTATGGACAATTTTGCGACTTTATCCGATAGATTTATTATTTATTGTGGTGATCTCGAGATCATCAAGAGGAAAAAAGTGTACTTGGTGATGGTGTACCGGAAATGGAAGAAAAATCTGATAGGGTCGGGGTTTGTTTGTTTATATATTTGGCTGATTTTTTGATTTTTATTTATAATATGAAAAATTAAAATTAGTTTTTATTTATTGATTTACTTGTAATTGTGGCTATGTTTTTGTTTATCTGGGTTTATTTATCGAGATTCCAACATGTTTTCATCATCTTTTTTGTATTTATTTCCTCTTTGTCAGCATGACACATCGTCATCATTCATCAATCATATTATTTTATTGTCATTTTAATGCCACACGCACTACACATACATTAACAAACTTATATATAGTCAGTCAACCAATCAAATTAGAAAAATATTTTTTTTAAAAATTAATTATCATCATTACTTATCATTAAAAAATTATCATTGGTGTGACGAAGTTGTTGGTTTTTTTTTTGCTGTTATTATTATTGGATTTGGTGTGAGATGATATTATCTCAAGTACATATATAGATTATATAAATAGGAAATTTTTATCAGCGCAGTTTCTTATCTCGAGATCTTGATAATCGCCTTATCGTTATTACCGAGTTCTCGAGTCATAATCATGGATTTTCTCGCGAAAGAAAAAAGGTCAATGGATTTTTTTCTCACGAAAGAAAAATCGAATAATTTGTGTAGCTTTACGCGGATCTTTAATCGATTACTTATATTATATACTAGTAATTTATTAGTATTATATAATAATCGTTTTTCTAAATATTCAGATACAATGTACAATGTTAAAGTATTAACAAAAACACCCCATGCCTAACCCTATAATCATACAATCAATCATACAATCAACAACTAAACAAAAAAATTAAAATAAAACAACTTCTCGATCAATCCAACAAAATTCTAGGAGAGTTCAACTTTGACAACCGATTTTGCTCGATCTGACTCATCCTATTCGATTTTCTTGGACTAGTTGGAGAATTCGGTTGCTGATCTTCAAACAATGTGTAAGCATCTCCTGGGGGAACGCTAACATCATCTATACCGAATACAGTCAAAACGTAAGTTCCTCTCATCATATTTCTGAAACAAATAATCGCGTATACTATCGTGATCGCGACCAATACAAAGGTTGTTGCAAGAAAAAATGATAAAAATCTTCGAGTGAACCGGTATGGATCTGGATCACGTTTTATATTTACTCGCACCAGACGATATAACAAATATCCTTCCGATAAGAACAATATATTGATTACGACTAGAACTGCGTATTTTTGTTCTTTTGTCGCTGCCCACCATGCTAAGAGCAACATCACCGGACCAAGAACACAGATCAATACTGTTTCGAACATCCAATTGGGGTAGCCTATTTGATGAGAGGGGATCAATTGTACCGCATAAGAGAGCACAAAGAACACATCCATTTTTATCAATGTTTGAAGTATCGTTAATTCAACGTAAGCATTTCGTATTTTCACATCAGCGGAATAAGTTTTATAATTCTCCCAACCGAATTCCGTCATTAATTTATATGACAAGAATGTAAATATGTTGAAATACATGGTCACGAGACCAATGATTGTATATTCAAGTGGTCGTATTCGCTTTTCGAAATACTTTTTCGTATCCTCGGGGGATGTGAATTTCCCTCGATTTTTGGGATTCCATTCCGCTTTATCAAGTCCTTCGTCTTCAAGTATTTTGTGTTGGTAGAGTTGAATGCCGGCATATGCTAACGAGAGTAGATTAAAGATCACCAATGCGACTATTTGAATAGTATTACGATAATGCAATGCATCAGCAACTAATAATATCTGAAATAATAGTGAAAAAAGAAATCTAATGATAAAGAGAAAGTATTGTTAATCAATGCCGCGTAGGCAATTATAGGATAATGTGACATTATTACACTTACATCGAATGATAAATTAAATCAGCAGTCGATATTCCTTTTCCATGCTCATCAAGCGTAAAATCACTCACGAGTGACACATGAAAGTATATTACAAGACATTCCAATACTGTCACAACTATCGTGAATAATAGTATTGAACCAAGTGTAATCTTTCCAATTTTTGATAACTTGGCCATTTTTTCGCTTGTGTCGAAAGTATTTTTTATGGAGGAAAAAAAAGAAAAAGACGAGGACGAGAACAAACAAAATAAAAATCAAGTGGTATTTACAAGAATGCAAGGCTCATTAAAGTTTTATTTGATTGGGGGTGTAATACCATTCCGGAATAGACGATAAATGAGATAAACAAAAACCCTTTGAAATTTAATTTGTGGCTGGCGCGAAGTATACCCGTAAATATTGAATTAGAATTCGGTCATAGAATTAACTAAAATTAGTCCCGAGTTGGTACTATTTTACTATATACACGTAATGTATTAGTGTTAGGTGCCTATCATTAATGGTTTAGGTGCAACTGAAAGCTAAGTACGTCATAGATAAATCTGCGCGCAACACTACCATGCTTTTCCATTATCGGAGGGGTTCTACTGTAATATTAATCAACGTTAAAGGTTGATTTCAAGGTTAGAGACGGAAATGAGGTTGTATGTAAAATTGTCTCCCCGACAACTTTTATTAGTGCTTCAAGTTAGATTTAGGCATCTTTCATTTTCTTATGTCGAATCTGTTTTTCCGGGCTGATCAGCATCTTTATTGGTTGATGCGGTAGAAGGATTTCTTGCGTACAGATTGACTAACTGGATATAATTCTACCATACAAATTTCCTACTGTGGATATATACATGTATCAAGTTGGGATGTGATCATCTGCTAGCGCTAGCGTTTTTTAATTAGTTTTGCAACCTATGATTTCAATCTCAATTATATATCGTTATTATGAATTAAGTATCGATATGTTGATTATAATATATAGAGTAGATGTCAATAAATTGACTATATATACTATATATCCGATTTAATCAGACAAAAGAATAATAATCGAATTATAAAATTGCGAGTAGCAAGTTTAACATCATGCTAAACACGTGTTTTTACACCTGAATACATTTTTCGGTGAGTGAGATGTTAAATAACATTTTACAGTATTTTATTGGCCACACACTATATTATGACATGTATATTACTATGATAAAAGACAATGACTAATAGAACTTATTACTAATATGATCCTTTTTACATTAACATTAATAACTCGAATGGAAGATCTATACTATATATGGGGGTTCCTTAAAGCAAGGCAAGCCGTTTAGCTGGCTTAGCCACAACACGCCACCTCTGATCGGTAACACATGATTTCTCACGATCTTACAATTTGATTGGTAGGTCCAAAAATCTCCGTGATTATTGATTATTAT